CGAGGCCGCTGTCGCTGCAGGCGAGTTGATCGAGGATCGGCTTTTAGACCAGGTGCTTCCCAGTGCGGAGGGGGGGGCGAGACTCAAGCTCCGGGGATTGCGTCGACCGTGCCCCGACCCCGCCATGCGCGGCATCACGGTGCACATGGTGTTCTTGAAGCGGCTTCATGCCGCTACCCTCCTAGACTTTCGGCGCCGTGTAAGACGTCGAACCAGTTGCTTCAGTGCATGGGAGAAGTCGGGCGCCCAACGGTTGGCGATCGACGCGAGGATCCCGAGTATCTTCTTCGAGGACCCCGACCCCGCGCAGCTCGCGAGCGGAGCGTGCTTCGCCAACCTGCAGCTGGGCGTGGGGCCGCCGCTGACCAGCGGAGGCGCCGACATCAAGTTGGCCTTCTACGCCATCTCAATGCCAGCTCAGCTGCGCGACCTCTTCGGGTTCGACAAGATTCGGGCCTGGGAGCTGAGCGTCACCGAGGTGGATGGGCGTCCCCCTTCAGCCTGGGGACTATACTTCCACCCCGTCATTGCGGCGCCGCCGATGGGCTGGGCGCTGGCCCTGCAGGCGCGCCAGGCGCTGCGCGAGGAGCTCGCCCTTCGCGAGCCAGACGACTCCCTCGAGAACGCCTTCGTGGACGGCAGGCCCCCCCAGGTCTCTCGCCCATCGCCCGCGCGGAGTACGTCGACAACTTCGTGTTTCGGCAGGGACCGCTCCGTGGTGGACGTGGTCACACGTGTGCGCGGGCGCCTGGTTGCCGCCGGACTGCCGATTCACGGCGTGGAGGTCAGCCAGGGCGGCGACGGGCTGGGCTGGCACCTCACCGAGCAGGGCTGCTGCTCGATGTCGTTGCGCAGCGCCTGGTGGCTACGCATGGCGTTCTGCACGTGGCCAGCCTGGGGCGGGCTAGCGGGCGAGAGGTCTCGGCGCTCCTCGGGCACTTCACGACGCGGTGCCTGATTCGGAGGGGGGATGCTCGTGACCCCGCAGGCTTGCTTCGCCTTCGCCCAACAGAACCAAAAACCTCGCTCCTCGTTGTGGCCGTCTGTTTCACGTGAGCTTCTCTGGATGGCCGCTCTCGTGTTTGTGATGTCTCGGGGGCATGATGCGAGTTGCAGCTCTGGGGTCCGCGCGTTCGACGCGTCGTCTTGGGGTTGTGGGGCGATGAACAAAGTTATCGACGTGAACGACGCCAACGTAATGGAGCCCTACAACGATCGATGGAGTCTTGCACAAAAAGAAAAAGCATGATCACTTTCACAATCCTCGGGGAGATTTATTTCGGGGTGATAGGGGCGAGGGGCTCGATCGGGCTCCACCTGTTCCTGAACGTGTCTGGGGTGGTCGTTGCTGCCGAGTGGCCTCGTCCAGGTGGGCCCTTGGAGATCACCTAGTCCACCTGGACTCTGAATCACTTGGCCAGGACCTCAGCCGCCCGTGGCAGGCGTCACCTGATCCTCGGCGATGCCATGACCGTAATCCGGTCTCGGGCCAAGGGGCGCGGGGGCTCGCTTGGCCTCTGCCGCGCCCTTCGACGCTCGGCCGCGCCGGTGCTGGCCGCGAACCTGCACCCCGCGTGGCACTGGGTGCCCTCCGAGAGGGGCGCTGCTGACGCGGCCTCGCGAGGCCGCCTGTCTACGCGCTTCCGCCTGGGAGCCTGGGGCGGCCGCGGGCGCGCAGCATGCTGCCGCGGGGCGCCATGGCGCGTCGGGTGGGAGCCGATTCCCGCTCGGACAGCCGCCCGACCTCCTTGCGGAGGGCGTCCTCCGCGGGGGTGGCGACGGCGATCGATGCGAGCTTGCCGACGCGCTGCAGTTCCACGAACGCTTTCCCCGGGAGTGGGCGGCGAAGGCCGCGGCCCAAGCGCGAGCCCCGCCTGGCCCGAGAGGTCGGCGTGAACCGCGAGGCTCGCGCAGCGGGGGGGCGCGCTGCCCGCCCGCCCCCAGCGGCTCGGCCCAGGGCGGCACCGGCCGCTCGCGCGCCGCTGGCGCGCCGCTCGGTGTCTGCGCGGCAGGAGTCGCAGTACTGCGACCAGAACCAGAGGTTCCTGGCCTGGACGCGAGAGCAGGGCCTACGGCACCAGCGCATCGCGGACTTGGAGGTGGTGGTGGTGGAGATGTTCAACCAGATGTACTACGGCGGCTGGAGGCCGAACGCGGCGTCGAAGATGGTGGTGGCGATCGCGGACCATCGTCCTGTGGCTGGTCCTGGGTGTGTCAACCTTGCTCGAGTGCTGGTGGCCCGCTGGGGCTTTGCGAAGCTGCGCCCGCCGCGGGCGCGCCTGCCGCCGCCGTGGGCTGCGGCCTGCCTGGTGGCGAAGCGCCTGGTGGACGTGGAGAGCTGGCGCAAGGGCGCCGCCGTCGTCTTCACCATCACTCACTACTGGAGGCCGCGCGAGGTGCTGAGGATCAGGGAGCGCGACCTGGTCCCGCCAGCTGGTGGCCGTCGGCGGTCCGCTCTGAAGTGGAGCGTGACCCTGCGCCCCCAGGAGCTGGCGATCAGCTCGAAGACAGGCGCCAGGGACGAGAGCATCGTTGTGGACAACGCCGAGGCGTTCCCGTTGATCGAGGCTCTGATGAGGCGGCTTTGCGGCAGCGGGGGCAAGGCGCTGGCGTTCCCGTTCCGCCACCGCGAGTGGGCCGCGAACTTCGAGAGCGCCGCCAAGGCCGTCGGGCTGCAGGGGGAGGCGACGCCGGTGCTGTACATGCTGAGGCCTCGCACGACGCGCCGGTGGGAGCGCGCGACCTGCGGGGCCTGCAGGGCCGAGGGCGGTGGCTCACAGAGAGGTCGGTGGTGAGGTGCAAGAGGGGCGGCAGGGTCAACCAGCTGTTGCACGGGCTGCCGCCGGCGGTGCGCCGCGCCGCCGGGGGCGCCAGGCGGTCGACTCACGCGCGGCCCCTGCCGAGCCGATGCGAAGGCGGAGAGCTGGGCGCCTGAGAGGCCGAGGGTTCGCCGAGGAGCTGTTTTCTGGCACGTGTCGCTTCGGCGCGGCCTGGAGACAGCAGCCGCGGCTGAGCCAGATCCCGATCTTCGGATGTGAGCACGGCCCGTCTTAGAGGACTATTCAGAAGTTTTCGGGATCCCATCTGGAAGACGGCTCGCTCGGAGTCCTGTGGATAGGTTTGCCTTGCAATAGCTTCAGCACTGCCCGTAACAGGCCCAACGGGCCCGCGACCCTCAGAAACGCTTTGTTTCCGTTGGGGCTTCCTGGTCTTCAGCCGTGGGATTTGAAAGCCGTGAGAACGAGCAGTGCCCTTGCCAGCTTGTGTGGAGGCCTACTCAGACAGGCTTCAAAGTTCGGAGATCCCGCCGTGGTCGAGTACCCCGATCAGCTGGGCATGGCTTCACCCAGCACTTCGCCTCCCCCCTCCGCCGTCGCCGTCGCCCACCTCTGCTCCCGTCTTCGCTCGAGATTGTTACATTGATTTTTGTGGCGAAGGCATGCCCTGGCGAAAACGCACCCTCGAGCTGTGGATGTCGACCTCGGCCCCGCGACCACACGTTGCTGTGGGCGGGGCGTGCGTGTTTTCTCAGGGATTCCCCACATGCAACTTGAAGGCAAGAGCCCTGCATGAATGTTCTATACCAAGCTAGCTGAGGCCTATCCTCGGAAGCTGTGCCGAAGGCTAGTCGGATGTTTCGAGTGTGCGTTTCTCGACCAGCATCGCCGTACTATTCGTTCCTATCTCCAGTAGTCTGGTTGGTCCTCTGGATTCCCTTTCAGGCCCTGGGGTCGTGCTCCTCGGGTTTGTATTTTGTTGCTAGGCCGCAGAAGTCGGCCAAATACTAGTGTGCCGTCTGTTGGTTTGTGGATCCATGTGTGTGCTGCGTGGTGTTCAAACTCGTTTGGGGTGCCCCGGATGTCGTAGAGAACGCGAGCATCCTACACGAAAGTATCCGTGGCCCTCGGCAGCGACGCAGCGAAGAAGGCGAACCGATCTTCATATGCACATCTTTGCAGCAGTCTGCGCAGAAGAGGACCGTCCGTCACCATCCTGGCTTAAGTTTCCTGTTTTGCTTCCTTCCTTCCCCATGTTAGCCAGCAGGATCCGTGTGTGTGTGCCGCGTGGTTTTCAATCTCGTTTTGGATCCTCGGGGTGCCCCGAATGTTGTAGAGAACGCGAGCATCCTTCACAAAGATATCCGTGGCCCTCGGCAGCGATGCAGTGAAGAACATCCTGCTCCTCTTCCTCCTCCCCGTCCATGACTCATCCTCCCCTATCCCCCATTCCTCCTTTCTCCTCCCACCTTCTTCCTCCCTTTTCCCTCCTCCCTCCGCTGTCCTCCCTCCCCTCTTGAGCTCGCGTGTGGTGTGACATTGCTCGGGAGTTGGTGCTAATGCCAGTGCTGCTGCTGATGCTGCTTTTGGTGCTCGTGCCGTTGAGGTTGTTGCTGTTGTTGCTGGTGTCGGTGTTGGTGCTGCTGCTGGCGTTGCTGCTTGTGGTGCTCTTGCTGGTGGTGGTGCTGCTGATGGGGCCTTTGTAGGCGGAGAAACCGGAGGAGGAGGAGGAGGAGAAAACAATCGCTGTCGTTTTGCCGATCCCCCACGAAAGCTAAAGCTGGAATGTTGTGCAAGATACGCCGTGCGGTTCCTTGTGGTAAGCGTATGTGGCGTCTAACCTCGGCGGTGGTGTAGTTGATGGTATCGTTGGTGTTGTCGTTGTAGTTTGTGCTTTTGGTGCCGCTGCTGCTGGTGTTGATGTCGGTGATACTGCTGGTGTTGCTGGAGCTGGTGATGCCTGGGGCCTTTTTGGGGGGTAAGAGGGAGAGGAGGAGGAGGAGGAGGAGGAGGAGGAGGAGGAGGAGGAGGAGGAGCAGGAGGAACACGTAAGGAGGACGGGAAGGAGGAGGAGGAGAAGCAGGAGGAACTCGGCGCGAGGAGGATGAAGAGGATCAGGGAGGCGGCAGGAACGAAGCAAGGAAGGAACGGACGATGACAAGGGAGGAGGAGGAGGAGGAGGAAGAGGAGGAGGAGGAGTGCTCGCCCGCGGGCGCGGGGCGCATGCCGGCCCCGCCGCCCGGGAGCGGAGGCCGACGTGCCTGCCGTGGGCTCGGCGGGGCCGGGCCGCGCCTCGGCCCCTTCGGTGTGCGCGTGGGCTGCCGAGCCGCTCTGCACGGCCCGGCGGCCCTGTCGGCACATGACGATGGGGCGCTGGGGACGCAGCCATGATGGAGTCGTAAAAAAATGAGGACGGGGAGTTTTTCGTTATTTTCGACCCCTGGAGGCCCTCGCCGGGCCCCGGGACCGTCAAAAAACGACTCAGGATGAAAAACCGGTCCCGGGGAACGTGTCTGGACTTCCGGGGACGCCGTCTTGAAAAAATCAGGACGTCGCATGTCTGGGGAGACTTCGTCGAAGAAGGCCCCCCGAGGAGAGCTGTTCCAGCTGGGATGGCCCGCAGCCCTGGCGAGATTTTTTGAATGAAACTTGACGATCTCTTCGGAAGCTTGACCGGCCCAAATCCCACTCCTTCCTCCCTCCCTCCTCTTCCTCCTTCCTCCGTTTTCTCCTGTTCCTTGTTTACTCCTCTGTATCCTCCTCTTCCTCCTCTTTCTCTTTTTCTTTCTCTTTCTCATTCTCTTCCTCCTCCTTCCCCTCCTCCTCCTCCTCCTCTTTCTTCTTTCTTTTTGATTCCCTTCCTCCTGCCGCCTCTTCTTTCTCTTTCTACTAGCCCTTTTCCAGGGTGGATGCGGGAACTGGCGGGTGGGAAGGGGCAGGAGTATGAGGATGGCGTGGGGGATGCGGACCAGGAGGAGGAGGAGGAAGGAGGAGGGAGGGGTGGGACATCGAAAGGAGGTCGATTATGGACATAAAGGGGGGAGAAGAGAAGGGGAAGGAGGGAAGAGGACGAGAGGAAGGCGGTTCGAGCATGAAGTTGGAGGGCCCAAGAGAAGACGAGGCATCCGCAACTTGCACATGATGCCATACACGTTCACAATTCATGATAACAGCATGCGTAACACTGTGCAAGCTGCTTGTCATGGCGAACATGGTGCGAAGACAAGCGTGTATGCCATCATGCAAGATATTTGCGACGCCATACTTCAGAACCTCTTGACACTACGCCTGAATAGAGGTACCACATGAGCCTCCGTATCGTTCCCCTCCTCCTCCCTGTCTTCTTTCTTCGTCGTCGTCGTCGCCTCCTCGTCGTCGTCGTCGTCCTCCTCCTCGTCGTAGTCGTCTCCGTCCCTCTCCCTTCTGGCCCCTCTGGTCCCCTTCCCTTCCGTTTCCGCCCCTCCCCCCCTCCGCTCCGCGCACCCCATTTGGACGCTTCAGCGGCACGGATGCCGCCGTACCATCGTGCGCGCGATGAGAGATCGAGACATTTCTTCATGCCATCTGCCAGGGCCAGCTTGGAATTGCTTCCTCGATTGCCGTTTTGTTTTCCCGCGGCAGCGACGGGAAAGCGAAGGAGCGGCGGGGAGAAACGGGGAGGTGGAGGAATAATAGGAGGATGGGCAAACAGGACGTGGTATTTGAAAAGGAGTGGAGGCGAACGGTGGGGGGTGACGCTGCTGATGCTGCTGATGCTGATGCTGATGCTGATGCTGATGCTGCTGCTGCTGATGATGATATTTGGGGGTGGGGGACGCTGATGATGATGATGATGATGATGATGATGATGATGATGTGATGATTGATGATGATGATGATGATGATTGATGATGATGATGGATGATATGATGATTATGAGGGGTGATGGATGATGTGCTGATGATGATGATGATGATGATGATGAGGATGATGGTGATGGTGATGGTGATGGTGATGGTGATGGTGATGACGATGGTGCCGACGGTGATGATGACGGTGATGACGTTTATGACGCTGACGATGCTGACGATGATGTTGATGATGGATGATGTTGATGATGATGATGATGATGATGATGATGATGATGATGATGATGATGATGATGATGATAATGGTGATGATGCTGAGGATGATGATGAGGATGATGATGATGATGATGATGATGATGATGATGATGATGATGATGATGATGATGATGACGATGATGATGATGCCGACGACGACGACGGCGACGACGGCGACGAAGGCGACGCAGGCCACGAAGGGGGGTAGATTGAGAGGATGAGGAGGATGAGTTGCAGCCTGAGTCGATGTCGAGGACTCCCCAGGCACAGGCTGTGCAGGCCTGCGGGGCAGCGGAGAGCGCAAAGGCGGGAGTTCCAGCATCGCGCGCTCCGCGGCGAGGACGCCTACGCGCGCGACAAGACGAGGATGAAGGACTACTACCGAGCGTGGGACAGCTTCGACGTGGACAAGATGGAGGAAGAGTTGGACGCGGAGGCGCCCGGGGGGCATCGCTAGCAGGAAGAGAAACACGACATCGCCATACGCTTTCGGAGCGCCGCGCGGACTTCTTGCATCGGCGCTGGCCTGACCCCCCCCCCTGGCGGCGTCCGGGCCGTTTTACTTTCTTCCACCGCTCTCTCTGATCCGGGTGTTGCCAGAGGTGTCTCACGCCGGAGGATTCCAGGGAGGCCGCAACGGCCTCGGGGACACTCCTCCCGAGGCCGAGCGGACTGCCAGGGGTTCCAAGATGGAGCGCAGAAGCTAGGGACACCCTGGGCCAGGGGCATTTTCGGAAAGCCCAGACTGATGCATCACCCGAGGTTCTTGCTTCTTGGAGGCGTTTTGAGCTCATCCTGGGGCCTTGGTGGGCCATCCTGGGCGACAATCTCTGCGGCTTCGCCTTGAAGTGTGTGTGTGTGTGTGTTTCTTTTCTTTGGGAGGGACGCGTCGGACAGGCAAACAGTAGCACTTTCGTTTGAGCTTAAATTTCTTTTGCCCTCTGTCTCTCTCTCTCTCTCTTCTCTCTCTCTCTGTCTCTGTCTGTCTGTCTCTCTCTCTCTCTCTGTCTCGGGGGCGTTTTGGAGCCCGTCTGGGCTACCTTGGAGGCACCGTTCTGAAGCCCTCTTCGGACGACCAGGAGGGCAAGGGACCCCCATAGTATTTTCTTTGGGCGCCCCCCCTCTCCCCCTGTAGACGCCCAAACGGCAGGTCCGGCGCGACAAGGCGCAAGGACCGGCAGAAGTAACAGTGAAGCAAGGGAGTAGCGCAGCAATCTTATCACACCGTTGCGCCCGACAGGAGCCGGCTGATAGTCAGCTGCTTGCGGCAAGTCCCGCCACCGTGCCAGCCCAACGTTTTTTGTCCCAGCTGCTCAAATCGACGAGGATGATGACGATGATGGCGATGATCACGATGAGATCATGCGGAGGAGAAGGAGGAGGAAGAGAAGGAAGTGGAACGGAGGAACATGGTTGTGGCCGGCGACGGGAATGACTCATATGATAAAAGGTGAAGATGCTGATGCTGGTGATGATGATGATGATGATGATGATGATGATGATGATGATGATGATGATGATGATGATGATGATGATGATGTTGATGATGATGATGATGATGATGATGATGGTGATGGCGATGGCGACTGCGATGGCGACGACGATGATGAGGACGATGATGATGTTTGATGATGATGCTACTGGTGACAATAATGATGATGACAAGGATGATT